ATGGGGGATGAAAATGTTCTAAGATTGACTGGGATGCACAATTCTGGGCATAGAGTAAAAACCGCTGTACACTTTAATGGGTGAATTGTATTAAAACTGTTAAGGACAAAAGCACCTCGGGCCAGTAGCTTCAAATAGTAAATGCAAATTGCTAACTTTTATTAGAGGAAGAAGAAACTGCCCTCAGTATGAAAGCAGGAGATCAGCAAATGGGGGTTAACTGAAATTGGACAAGAGCATTTCATTTGAAACAGTTGCTGAGTGTACACGAAATATTCAGAAATAGGAAAATCAGCTTGACATCAAGAAGAAGCATTCTGCTTCAAATGCAGATCAAGTATTGGGCAAGCCCAGCTGATACAAATGACCAGAGAAGAAACCTGGTTTTAAAAACAAGCACCAGAGCCAACAATGAGATGGTGGTGAGGAAAGCAGGCGGCCAGATATCTGGAACAGTTTTCTACAAATAATTACTCCACTGAAAATTCAAAAAAAAAAATGAAAGTGATGCAATTCTGTGCTGGCCTCACGTGAATGGTCTTCCTCCGGTGCTCGACAGTTCTGTAACCCCGAATGCGAGACTCAGGAGAATCAGCATGGCTCCTGGGAGTCCCCAAGTGACTGCCCACCAGCACGCTGACCACCATCACATCTGCCAGTGTTGTATTGTAGAGAAGAGACCAACTTCTAAAAAGCCCAGGAAATGTTGACAAGGGAAGAAAAGACTGCGGTCAGTCCTGGGACAGAGGCCCTGAGAGCAGAGGCCAGAAGGCTGCAGGTGAACTGGAGTGGCCCTGGGGCAGGAAAGGACCAGGGAGGAGCATATCTTAATCCTCTACTCTCACTCCCTCGTGTAGGAGAGATAAAATCTGCATCCTTCTCACATGGAACTGTGGGTTCCGGCGGGCAAGAGTCTTACCTACAGGGAATGATTACTCAAAACTCTGGGAAAATTCGAGAAAGCGAGAGGGATTAGGGAGCCAACTCCACGAGCCTCTCAATTGCTCCCATATTTATTGTGTATAATCAAAGGAAAAATTCATTAACAGCTGTGTTATAGTAATCAGGAACTTGGGGAAAGAAGGGATGAGACAGAGATTGTAGAATCCACCATGAGTACAAAGGCTTAGTGTATCTTTAGGGAAGTAATGGGGTGAGGGGAATAAGATACATTTTTTAGATATGTGAATTACAAAGCAGACCACCAGACCAGCTAGGTCCTTGTTTGGGGGATAATAGATTATCTAACTGCACACAAACCCAGCGTTTATAGCTGAGGGCCAGGGTCATTGCTTTTCAATGAGCAGAGTGCTATATAAAACCTCAATTACGAAAGCAAAGCATTTTCTCTGCTTTTTAAGGCAAGGAGACAGGAGTGAGAATGCACAGGCGCTTGCCTGCAAAGCAGATACTAAGCATATATTTTTTTTCTTAAAGTTGACAGTCGACTGGGGTCTGTTAAAATTTGTTAACATAATCATGGGCTCCCACATGGAACCATTATGGAGGACAACCTAGGGTGACAAATCCTGGCTCTAGGCCTTTTCCGGCCAGCCTCAGCCACTCTAGCAGGGTCTAGGCACATCCCTGAATAACGATCCTACAGAACCACACGCACTCTTAACTCCTGGTGCTTGAAACTTAATTTTAGCTCTACACAACTTAAAGTAGAAAAGTTTCATAAGAAAAAGATACTATATTCACTTTATATCTCATCATAGGACTGATTTCTCTGATTCTTCTAAGCTGCTGCTTCTTGGTAATGCACCTAATTCTGCAGGTGAATTCAGTACTTTCCTTTAGGCATAACTAGCCAGTTTGGTCTCGCTAACTTCTATTGGTCAAATACCGATACACTTAATTGATATCATTGTTCATCAATTTCAGCTGGGAGTAGAGGGAGTATCACTTTGTTCCTCAGCCAACCCTCAACTCTTTATCATCAGCAACTCAGGCCTCCGGAAAACAGAAAAAAAGCATTTGTTTCCCTTCTACACTTTCAAAAAACCCAACAGGATACATCAGCCTGGAGAAAGACTTCAACACAAATGTTAAAACAAAAATCTATAAACCTGAA